TTTTTTAAATCTCAAAAATAATAACTTAGAAGAATTAATTAAAAAAAAAAAAAATAGCAATTAGATAGACCTTAACCCGAATCCTCGTTAAAATTTTAATAAAACAAGCTAATGTTCAATAAAAAATGTTTTTCGCCAGCTAGCAAAAAAAAACGATTGAAATTCCGCGGTTAAAAAAATGTTATCAAGAATGAAAAATCTAGACCGTAGAGATGATGACCCGGCATCACTAACGAGAACGAGGAACGAGGATGTGGAGGTATAATATCCGCGGTGGGAGTGGAGGCGATGAATAAAGGATCACTCACGGGTGTCGGTTGACGCACCATACCATCGAAACCCCAGTAACCAGTAACCAACAAATAGACTCGAGCGAGACGCCATTTATTTTGACACAACAGATCAGAGAAAGAAGCTCGGTCAGACCCAGACAGAGAGCAAGGCGACAGAGCGGAGGAACGGGGAAGGACGACCGATGCATATAACCAGTGAGGTACAAAAAATCGTACATGGGTCATTGGTCGAAAGCTCGGTACGCACGAAGGGGTTGACGCGCTCGACACCCTACCTCAATGCCTCACTCACTCACTCACCCTGCAATCCCTCTAACTCTGTATAGTATCTGGTTCTAGATTCACACACATCCACATGACCGTATCAACCGATTATTACTGCCTCACTTGATGCTCTCGTTTCACTCCGCAGATCACTGCTATGATATATACCTACACATAACCGGGCAGGGGAATTCCCTCGCGAAACGCAATAAATATTTACGAGATTAAAAATTAGATTGACGTTAAATAATTGGCCGAGATAAAAATATTTATACATATATGGAGAAATTCAAGCTGTAACTGTGTTCAATAATGTTTGAATGACCTCTGAACTTACTATTGATTGATTTCATTCTTCAATATTAATAATAACTAGCAACCGTACAGTCACTACACTGATAGAAGGATTCGTTTATAGTTAAAAATATTTGTTAATATTTAACAAATCATTTATTAGAGACTACTTTTTAGTATTAAACAAATATTTCTTAATATTTAAAATGGTTTATTAATATTTACTAGATTTATTAGATTTATTAAATATTAACAAATATTTTTAACTATAAACAAATCCTTCTATCAGTGTATGTGACTGCCGCGACTTGTGAACTATAAAAAATTAAAATTTTGGTTTATTAAATAATGACTTTTGTTAAATTGCACTGTACTTTCTCAACTATTGACGTTTTTAAAAATATAAGCTCATCCCGATGTTACACTCATCAAGAGCTTTCATTTGAGTACCCACATGCATTTTTATATATTTTTCATATATACATATATATAATATAATATATAAATATTATATATGAAAAATTGATGTGGGTACTCAAATGAAAGATCTTGATGAGTGTAACATCGGGACGAGCTTATATCTTTAAAAATGTCAATAGTTCACAAGATACAAGGTCATTTTTCAATTATGTATCTGGAGATAGAGCATTTTCGAATGCAGCCTAAATACTTATCATAATAAATTGACTATATCGGTGAGAATGATATGAAACCTTGAAAAGGCACAAATTCAAGTCAAGACCTTTGCAATGACACTAAATTTCACTAAAAAAAACCGATTTTATCATATGACTGTCCTGAACACAAAATTTTTCTTATTCTCCTAATAATATAGATAATTATCGTCGATTAGATAACTATACAAACGATTGATTCTATTGAATTTTGTTCATATTTTTTATTAAAACTCTAAGAAAAAATTTTTATAGAAAAAAGAGAAATCACTAACTAGAAAATTTAATATTTAAGAGCTTTATCCTCGGAAAAATAATTATTTTCTAGAGTTTAATTATTACTTGTGATAATTATTCCGTCTTCCGGGCACTGCACCGAATATTATACATAAACAGCCGACAATACCGTGGTGGACTGACAAGATGTAAGGATATTGAATCGAAAACTAGGCCGTAAACGTAATGCTAATGCAGGAGAAAGGAACCGAGAGTACAACCAAGTTCCTACTCTAGCAGTATCTGCACTTACTGATGCTACTAGTGAAAGCTAATACTATTTTTTTCTCAACCGTAGCGACACAGAGACCACGAGACATCTATTTTCGAAGATTGCTCCAGTTTCAGCTAGCTAAAACTGATGCAAAGGCTTTCACTTATTGTATAGTTAATATAAAAAAATAAAATATGAATGGACTGTTAACATACCACTTGATGCAGAAAAATTGTGTGAGTGGTACATGAACTTTTTGTGCAAAGTTTAAATGATAAAGTTCACTGTCAACGGTTATAGTGTCAAACTTTACTGAAATCCCTGATGATTTCTCGGCAACGTTATTTTATAACTGACAGTTCAAGTGGAGAAAGGATTTTCCGTTGAATAACACACTCTGGATGTACACACTCTTTTGTGACATTTTGACGTGACAACCGCATATTGGCACTGCAAAAAAATTTACCAGTATTTTAAATTAATTTTTTAGTGGAAAAATATTCTTCATCGAATAAATTATCTGAAGTTTGAAATTATTTTAATTAAAATGTTGCATTAGAATTTTACATTTACGTTTTGACGGTTTAAAAAAAAAAATCGATAAAAAGTTAATTGCTTCGTTTGTGTAAAATCAAATTTAAAAATTTGGATGAATAATAAATTAAATAAAATTATTTGAGAAAACAAAAAAGTTTATTGACCTCCATCGAATACTAGAACTACAAAATAGGAACTACGAAATAGTATAGAGTAGTAGAACAGCAAGTGAAGCATGCAAGACGACTTATTCACGTAGCTAAAGCAAAACGTCCACATGAAACACTACTGCCTTACATTACGTATAACGCAGTGATACAGATACGTAAAAACTTTTAAAGTTTATATTTTCTATCCTCATACCATCAACTTCTGGCCTCTTTCTTCATCCAGCTCCCAAGTTGTTTTAAATTTATATAGCTATATATATTTTGTTTTTAAGCTTGAAAAACAATTTTCGAGACGAAAGTGCATACGTATAAAAGTACTTTGTTTACTCTGAGGGAGCAATTAGGCAATGTCTATAAAACCTGTTTTTATTCGCTTAATTTACTTGTCGAATACAATAGCTCTTATTATTAGGGCGAAAGCAAGCTGAATCAAGTAATGGTAGAAGTTTTATTTTATAATTGCTTTGGAACAATATTCCTGAAATGATTGAATTTTTTTAGTTTTTTTTCTTGTCAAGAGCTAAATAGCAATTAAATTTGTTATTTAAGAGGGAACACCACTGTGACGATCGAAAAAAAGAGGTGATTTTCGGGAATTTTTTTGACAGGCAAAATAAAGGAATTTAGGGATCGGATTTTTTTATTTTATTAAGGGTACATTAAAGATTATTACCTTAAATTTTTATTAAAAAATATTTAATTATTACAAAGTTATTAACAATCTCGTAGAGCACTATTAGAAAAAATTTCCCCCTCCATGGTCGGTTCGATAACTCAAAAACGGATCATCTGAAAATAAAAACCCAAATTGCTTTTTATTCAGTAAGAATGTAGTTATCATCGCACGTACGGAATTTTGAAAATTTTAATTTTTAAAAAATGGCGACTGATTGAAAATTTTCTCACTATTCTTACGGTTTAACCCGGCTAAAAAAATCTTTAAAATAAAAATTTTAAAAATTCCGTACGTGCGACGATAACTACATCCTTACTGATTAAAAAGCAATTTAG